CTGGATGAGCTCTGGAAAGCCAGTCACAAAAGGTTCCATATTACATGATTTGTCTGAAACTTGAGAATGGACAGCCAAATCTGTGGAGCATAGAGGCTGTGAGCAGACAAGGAGGGACTTGGGAGGGGGGATGAGGGGTGACTGCTAAAGTTGCAAGGTTTCTTCTGAAAATACTGCTCGAACGTTTGTTTTTATGATTGCCTAATTCTGTGGATATACTATAAAACATTTGAATTGTGAATTTTATGTAGGTAAGTTATAGGCCATGTGAACTTGACTTACTGAAGCTATCATAGAAGAAATTTAAGAATAGGAGACTAAGGGCTGCTGTAGATAAGACATGACTGATTGATGAGAAGGTGTAAGTTTGCTGGCCAGAGTAAAAGGCACACTTGAGATTGTAGTTACAAATATTAAAAGACTAATTAGTGTGCTGGGCCTTGGGGTGACCCTCAGACACATTCAGGTACAAGAGTTGCTTTTAAAACCGATGTTGGGGTTCCTCCAGGCATCTGACGCGAGAACCATGGACTCGGAGTCAGGTAAGGAGGAATGCGGAGGACATTGTTGGCATGAGCCTGGTGGCATTGAAGACTGGGCTAGGGTGCTTCAGAGAGGATGCATGTCCTGGGAAGAAGAGGAAGATCTGAGAGTGGGATAACTGAATGAGAATTCAGATGTCCTGAATGGAGGATGAAACATCCATTACCTCTTAGAAGCAGTGGCTGCAACAGAATGGAAACCACATCATTGGTCAAGAAGAGACAGTGACAGACCCCCTTGCCTTGTTCACTGTGCCCTTCCTCCTCCAGGAAGGAGGTCCCTGCTTTAAAGAGTCCACTTAGCTTTATGTCCTCTGAAATTGCCCTGCTAATGGGTGCAATTGGTCCCACCAGTATCTAAATCAGACCATTTTGTATTTATGATCCATACCTGCCGGGCGTGATGGTACACTCTTGTAATCCCAGCACTCCAGAGGCTGAGGCAGGAGGACTGTTGAGTGTTTGAGACCATTCTGAGCTACAAAGTGAGCTTAAGGCCAAAAAGCCACCTATGTTTATGTGGTTTTGTACTCACTTGTTTACGTTCTGAGATTCAAGGTATACATTGGTCTCTGAAATGAGCATCTTTCTCCTCTTTAAATTATGAAACAGCTATTTTTAAAAATAATAATAGGAGATACTTAAGATTTGGTTATGTTGAGGTAAACCCCAGTGTATTTGTTGTCAAAAGTGTACATAACTATTTGGAGCTTTTTTTTGATCTGCCCTAAAACCGTACCCAAGTCTGTCAGATCCCTTTTTTGTTTTGTGACTGTTGTTCTGAGCAGGAAGGTGCATATTCCACTCTTTAAGCCTATTCCCAAGGGAGACCCCAGATCCTCTTGACTGTTAGTGTTACCATGGGAAATGTGTCATTTGTCTTCAAAAAGTAATACTTTTCCTATATTTTTTATGTTACCTTGACACCTCCATCTGCTTATTCCAAACAGACAACTGTGTTTTTTCATCTCAAAACTCAGTTCTGTCCATTAAATGCTTGTCTCTTAGCCCTACTACCTTTCAGGTCATCCTCTTAATCACTGTGCTAGATTTTTGAAGTAAGAAGCAGACTGCCATGTCTTCCTCTACCTTGCTGGCTAGAAGGATCTTCAGAACATAAGATCATTCATCCTTGCTCAGAATTCCTCTGTGGTTTCCTCCCGCTCAGGGCATGTAAGGCCTCTGAACTGCTGTGGCCCATGGATGAGCCTTTCACCCCTAGCCGCTGAATTTCCCCCTCTTCAGTTGTCATCAAAAGTCACGGTAGCACTTCTCTGAATAACACGTTACTGCAGCACCTAGAGTAGCCGTTTCAGCTGCTGCTTTTTGACCACCAGTATCCATACCCACTTTACACACTTTCCTTTGAGACGCAAACCAGACTTCCTTTGTGATTCCTTCCAAGAGCCACACTCCCAACTTTATAAGCCCAGCCTCTGTGTTAATATGCTAGTGTGTGCCATCTCCTGTCACAAGTTATTAGACTTTGTCCCCTTCAAAATATTTACATCCCTAACCTCTTAAATGAGTTTTTTAAAATATGATGTTTAGGTTTTTGATATGTGAATTCTTTTTCAATTTATAGCTCTAGAAGACTTCAGTGATAACCTTTCCAAATAAAATCAAGTCCTACCTTGAATGTCCACTTGACCTAGAAAACTCATTATATATTCTACTGGTGTACGTGTAATACCTACTTTCCTAATAAAGATTTCTTAATGAAAATTCAGTTTGCATGCCTATTAAAGGATTCTGCCATCTGATGTATTTTTTAACTAAATAGCTTCTATTTTAAAAGTAATGCATGTTCACTCCAGCAGACAAATGAGTGTTTTTTATTAAAGTCCCAAGTCTGATCAGGAGGCCATTTGGGCCGAGGGAATATTCTACAGGGAAGTGTATAAATTTTGTTGATCCATAAAGGTTTAAAAAGAAATTGAGCCTGATACATCTTAGCACTATTTCCAAAGCAAAGGAAATCAATTGTGTAAAGTTTAAGCAGATTCTAAATACAGATATCAAGCATGGAGTAAAATGGGCAGCTTTCTTCATGAGACATTATGCCTTATAGGAGGTATGTATTAGTGTTTACAGTTACGCTGTTTGTCATTAACAGTGTATATAAACCCTCATACACGATCTAAAGAACTAATAAGGTTAATTCTAGAGGCTGAGGCTTATGTTTTTAGAGAATCATTGCCTGTTTTCTATCCTCTGCCCAAGCTGGAGGTAGCCTTGTACCCTTTGGCCATTGTCAAGAGAGAGAATCGAGGAAGCCAGATCCTCCTGGGCAAATTTGAAAAGAGGAGTTTTGCCCTTGCCTTGCAAGAGTCGCTCTTCCTTTTTAAGACTCACCTGAACTGTAGCACACTCTCCCCTATTTTTTGGAATATTTTAAATTTTGGAGTGGATGTTAAGGCCATAGGTGGATACATTAATACCACTTTGGCCTCCTAGACCTTCAAAAAAAAGACACTGATAAAAGCTTGCTGGGAAAGTAATGTATGGTTGACTTTGAGTGCTTTTATGTAGTAAAATCTCTTATTAAACTTTCAGAATATAAACATTTTGTGTTGAGTGCACAGATGTTGAAACTACATACTGTTCCTTTTAGAAGTTGAGAGCACAGTGGGAGATTTAGCTTAGCACAGCTCCTGCCTGACAAGTGCAAGGGCCTGAATTCATTCAGTTCCCAGTACCAACAAAGAAAACTGACTGCAAAGAGATGCTTTAGATGCTTTTGTTGCGTTACTCAGTGATCTTCGTTGTGAAAAAACTTTTGGGATGCCATTGAGCTTCATTTCAGTCTGCAGTATGGCCCACTTGGTAGTCCTGGGTATATTTAACATCAGGGATTTTCCTAATGACAGTCTTGAATCTAAAGGGACTGGTTTTTGTTGTGCTAATTAGCGTGTCACCACAGAACTGATATTTCTGCCTGTGTATACATGTATGCATAAGCTCACTGTATTGTAAGTTTTTTCTATCTATGATAGTTATTGGAGGTGTTAGGATGTTTGGCACTTTCTATAATAGAGGTGTGGAAGAATAATTTCAGCAGTTAACTGAGCAAGCACTGAACTCGATGTATTTTATTGCATTTGATCATGATTACTGGCTAGTATTATCACTATGCCCATTGTATGAATTAGAATACCAAGGCATAAGTCAGGAGCAAGATTATTTTTCACTGAACATATTCAAGCATAAGAAGAAAACTGAAGTAAATACTAAAACTAGGTCTTCATGTTGAGTTGTACACTTACATGGTGGCACACACCTGTAATCCCAGCACTCAGGAGGCTGAGGCAGAAGAAATTAAAGGCCAGCCTGAACTACATGATATAAGACCCTGTCTCAAATAATCATATATCCTTGCACTTGTAGGCTCATTTTAGTGGTTTAAGTGTGATAGAATACTGGATCATGTATTATGATTAGCAAAAACTGAAGTAATTATCATTTTCATGTTTATATACAAAATACAGAAATGTGTAGGACTTGAAGTTGACTCAAGTTGTCACGCTAGAATATGTTTGGGGAAAAGAAGCTGAAATTAGTACTAATGTACTAGGTCATTTTTCTGTTAGTGTCACACAAGCATTTCTGTTACCATTGCCAAATGATAGTCATAACCTAGAACTTGTTCACAGACCCTTGTGTATAACATGTCTAGAGAAAAAACGATACTGATGCCTGCTGTGTAAGTGAAGAACCAAAACAAATCTGTGTTCCTCTACAGTGGAGTGTTGAGCCCGTATGATTGTTTTAACGGTGACTTACATATAAATGGGAAGATAAAATTGTCAGTTGTAAACTCTGTTTGGCCTTTGGAAGAGTGAGTAGAGAGGCACTAGAGCGCTGACCATTCGGCACTGGTTAGCAGTCCCTTGGCCCAGCAGCTGTCACATTATGCTGTGTTTCTGAAAAGAAACTGCAAAAATAAAAGTTCACATCTGTGCATGGAACTCTGTTTTCTAAACTTCAGTGTTGACATGTACATATTTTGTAACTATCTGAGTCATTTGAGTAATGTGGACCAAGTGTGCCATAGAACCAGTCCTCTTCCTCTTGGATTTTGTTACCTCAGTGACCTCTTTCTTGCAGTAAGTAGTGCGTCAAATTAAGAAACACAGCCTTCATAGGGTTGAGAAGTTACTGATAGCGAATGCTGTTCTTTATCTCATTGGGACTTAACGTTTTAAGTACTTAAAGGGACGAAACAGTTTCTTATGAATGCTACAGCTTTTGACATTCTTCAAAGTGCTGGCGCCCGCCTGTATTAAGTACTTTGCACAGTGCTCTCAATGGTGGCGAGCCTCACCTTGGGCTTGGACAGGCCAGCACCCTGCATGGAAGTGAAGGTTCTGGATTGTCTTCCAGTTAAAGTTACACAGGGAAACAGCCGAAGTAAAGTGGCATCTTCTGTGGCACTTACATGCTTGTATTGTCTTTCAGGCACTCAGGGAGTTGCACCCGGCCCTGTAATTGGGCTGCAGGCACCATCGACTGGTCTTCTGGGGGCCCGACCCGGCCTGATCCCACTTCAGCGCCCTCCAGGAATGCCTCCACCTCATCTGCAGCGCTTTCCTATGATGCCACCTCGTCCCATGCCACCACACATGATGCACAGAGGGCCGCCACCAGGACCAGGGGGCTTTGCAATGCCACCACCTCATGGGATGAAAGGGCCCTTTCCTCCGCACGGGCCCTTTGTTAGGCCTGGTGGGATGCCAGGGCTTGGGGGCCCAGGGCCTGGCCCCGGAGGTCCTGAAGACAGAGATGGAAGGCAACAGCAGCAGCCCCCGCCACAGCAGCAGCAGCAGCAGCCACCTCCACAGCAACAGCCGCCGCAGCAGCCGCAGCCGCCACCACAGCAGCAGCCACCACCACAGCAACAGCCGCCACCAGCTCAGCAGCAGCCACAGCAGTTTAGAAATGATAACAGGCAGCAGTTCAATTCAGGTAGAGACCAAGAAAGGTTTGGAAGAAGATCTTTTGGAAATAGGGTGGAAAATGACCGCGAACGGTATGGAAACCGTAATGATGATAGAGATAACAGTAACCGTGAAAGGCGAGAGTGGGGAAGAAGAAGCCCCGACCGGGACAGGCACAGAGACTCAGAAGAGAGAAACAGACGCTCTAGTGGGCATCGAGACAGGGAGAGAGATTCTAGAGATAGAGAGTCACGCAGAGAGAAGGAAGAAAGCCGAGGAAAGGAAAAGCCTGAGGGGACAGACAGGGCCAGTGGGAACAAAGCCACTGAACCTCCCCTTAACCGAGGGGGCATCGCAGACACTGCTTCAGAACTTGACAAGGGGGAGGCGGAGGCCACCGTGGGGAAACCTCCTGAAGAGTCTCCTGCTGAGGCTACCTCATCCATTGAACCTGAAAAGGATTCTGGCTCAGCAGCAGAGGCTCCTCGCTAGACTGCAGCTTGTCCAAATGTGACAGTGACACTTGCGGAATATAGAGCTTGAGGTGTACAGATGCTGTATTATATTTGCTCCGGCTTATCACAGCCCCGCAGTAATTGGTGGGGAGTTGTAAGCAATTTGATTGCTTCCCTTTTATTTAAAAATAGCTACAAAATAACAAAAAATACTGAAATATGAATAAATATTACCCCTTTTGCTGTAACTTTTTAAAAGTTTTGACTTTAAAAAGTTTACAAATCGTAATTAGAAGTGCTCTCTATTTTTTTTTTTTAATTTAAGACAAGGTAACGGTGAAAGCTCCTCAACACAATAGGGATGTTTTTAATAAACTCTATTTTCGTAACAAACTTTAATGTGTGCTATTATTCCTATACTGCATTAAGGTGGAAAAGGATTGTTCACCATCTAAGTTTGAGCTGTTAATAATGTATTTGAGTCTAAAGTAGACTTATTTGATGGAAATGGACATTTTTATGTAGTTCATTTGTAATTCTCTTGATTCTTAGCATTTCAGTAAGAAAAGTTAGTAATATTAAGTGAAAAGCTTGTTAGCATTTGTAATTTAGCCAAAGTTTTCTTCCACTTGCTTTGTAGTATTATTGCTCTAGTTATCTGTAGAGATTTCACTGGGGGAAAATTGGATTCCCGACATGACACCTTGTACTAGTAATTATCTGATAGCTGATAGCCTGGGTATTAGAAGACTGGGTGTTTAGGGTTTGTGGCTTTTGTTTGGATCCCATTAAATTTTTCAAAAGGGTAAGCGTAAATTGAAGTTACCATTTCCAATCTCAAAGCTTTTTTGTCTTATGATTTAAATGAACCTGTTGTTTCCCATAAACATTTTTAACCTGCCTGGTAGGCAGAGATAGGCAGCTTTTTGAAAAATGAAATGTTTTATCTTCCCTGCTTCACATGGTTGAGTTGCCTGCTGGTGACGTAGACTGATGGTACAGGGCTTGCCTAGCACGTTTGAGGCCTATGTACTGAATTAAATAGGTCAGCCAGGGACAGTTGTAGGTTATCCAAGGAATACCACATGAAAACAAACACCAAATCAAGCCTGTGTCTCAAAGTAGCTCAGAAAAGCTCAGAACCACTAGCCCAACACCAAGACGCAAACTGACACAGCCTGTTTCCAAGTGCTGAGCAGATAACTTTTTGCCCCATCCCCAGCTGAAGCTGGTTTGACTGGTTTGAATAGTACTGTGCAGCAAGGTCTGTTAGGACAGGGAACTTACCCTAGGGCAATATTCTTGTATTCTTGCCTTTAAAAATCAAGAAAACTCCATTTCTAATCTGGACTTAATGAAACTTATTGTGGCCCATCTTAGAAGTTTTAAAGTCCTAACTGAAACTGCTTTTGAAAAGAAACACTGATGATCAGTGTCAGGATTTTCAATTGTATTTCCAATTGAAAACCATTGTATTTGCACGTGAAAAAAAGAAATCCATTAGTACTGCCTGGCAGTGTGATTATACTTGAGACTTCCCCGAGTTAATTCTAGTATTTGCCTCATCCCACATATGCAGCAAACTAATACACATTAAATACTGTTAAAATTTTCTGCCCCATTGCTCATTTTAACCACTATAACCATATTGCTCTTTATCGCTGTGTAAACTCTTCTAAATGATGTCCTATGCGTTTGATACAGTTCATATTTAAGAGGATTACTCATTTTATCATTTATATGATTTTCAACTGAATAAAAACACCAGTCAAAAATATGAATTCGATTAACGTTTCATTTAAAAACATTATTTACATGAATACAGACTTCACTATCTGGATGTATAAATTCTGGCACTCCAGTAGCTAGCACCACAATAGCTAGCACCACAATCAAACATCTTGATTTCTTTCAGTACTCGAGTCTACTTAGAGGGCCAATCTGAAGACAAGATTATACCAAAATCCACCTGGAAAAGTTCTAAAGCGGGCTGGGGATTTAGCTCAACGGCATAAGCACCTGTCTTGCAACAGGCAGTCGTGAGTTCAATCCCTGGTACCGTAAAAAAGAAAAGACAAAAAAAAAAAGTTCTAAGGCAGGTAATTACTCAAGGTCATTAAGTTACCAAAGAGCTCTTAAAACTATCACCTGGGGCTGGGGATTTAGGTCAGCGGCATAAGCCTTGCAAGCAGGCAGTCGTGAGTTCAATCCCCGATACTGATAAAAAGGAAAATTATTATCTGCTTTTACAATAAATTTTAGTACCTTACAGGTTTCCCTGAAGGTGACAAAGGACAACCTATTGTCTAAGGTCAAAGTTTAGGCTGCCATAGCTAATGGATCAGCTGCTAAAAGTTTATACATTCTGATGGCCTAACTTAAAACACTTTGAGAACAGTGTTAAGAGATGGTCAGTTCCATTCAAGTTGTGTATGGAAATGAGTATGCAAGCTCAGAATTTTGGTTTGGATACTTTAATAGGTTCAAAGTGCCACACAAGGTGTTTGCAGGCTTGAATGAGTATTGAAGAATTTCAGACAGGAAATTTACTATCTACAGATGATCAAATCTGGCAACATACAGAAATCACTGAAACAGACATTTTAATTGAATGAGCTTTATAAAACCATACAATTCTTCCAAAGGAACATGAATCAGTTCTCATTACAGAAGTATTTTAAGCAATTAAGAAAAAGACACAAATTACACTTAATATTACAGTGTTTAATGTTTCTCTACAGCTAGCAGGATGACACGAGTGAGCAGGACTGGAGCACACAGCAGGGAATGTTTACTGGGCAATCCCAATCACGCCGCAAGCCAGCCGACTTCCAGCATTTCCCGTCTTTGTACTTTCTTCATTTCCACCCTTGCCCAGGTCATCTGGTTTTTCATGGACCTTTAAAATGATTAAGAATATTTAATTGTAGGGTATCAAGTAACTAACACCTATTCCCAACACTATTCCAGACTTCTGAGAACAATTAATATTAGAAAATCGTATACTAAAAAACTATTAGTAAAAGAAATAATATGGATATTTATGCTAGTAGTTTAAAAAGTAGAAACTACTACACAAAAGTTTTCCTTGCTGGTGAAAGATGTTACCTCTACCTTTAACAAGGAAAGCATTGATATTTCTTGCTTATGGGCCACCACATGCTGTTCCTAATCCTCCACAAAAACTAAGTGTAACTTTAGTTTATAGTAAACTCAAGATTTCATACCCAATGAACTATAGGTCATAAACAGGCAATCCCAGGAATACTTAAAAGTATTTAGCAACGGTACTTTTGCTAAAGTTTTATACACCAAACATTTATAAGTGATTTTTCTACTTCACCAATAGGGCTTAAGAAAATCTGAAGTTAAAGGGCCAGCTGAAAGAAAAGTCCCCATTGAAAGTTAACTTCCAGGGGAAGGCCTGCAGCCCAGGCTCCTCGGGGTACTTGGGAAGAGCCTTCCCAAAGGGTAAACAAGAACAGTAATACTGACGTCTATCCCAAATTGCATACTCAAAAGAATGCTCTGTTTAACTACAAAGGGAAGCACTTATGGCAAGAAAATCTAGCTGTTTGAAACTAAAGACTACTGTTTTCCAAATTCATGTCTAATATGATCAATGTAACCTGCTTTTTACTGTGTCTTAGGACAACAGCATGCTTACCAAACCTAGATAAATCACTTTTACTGTAATCACCCAATAAGAACGCTGCTTTTCCTTATCTGAACTGAAAGTACAATTTATATGACTCTTAGAAACTGGAAGCAACCACCTAAGAAGTGATGAAAAGATACACAACTGTGTATTGCAAGGAATCTCACACATATCCTCCTTGTATGGAAACTTACCACCATTGTGCGGCCAATGATGGAATTTGCTCCGGAGAGTGAGATCAGAGAGTCCTCGATGGATACATTGGCCACGCCGTCTGCACCAGCAGTCACATTGCCCAGGTCTCCAACATGCCTAGCAGTGAAAAGCCATCGGACGAATTAGAACTAGAGTCCTCTGAACATCAGTAAAGTGCATGAGCTAAAGTAAAGTTTGAGATGCACATGTAAGGGTGAACTCTTGAGTATTTTCACCCAAGACTACTTCTCCAGATTGACAAGTTGAAAAACACAAATTGAAAAACAAGCAGCTAGACAGAGCTCTTCTATCAAGGCTTTCGGTCCGCACAGTAACGGTCTGCAGAGCACTCTCTGACTTTAGGGGCACAATATCAAGCCTCAGCTACTGAGTTAAGCCACCTAATTATTCGCACAGTGAAGAAAAAATACCCTGGTAGGCCTCTGCTACAAAATTTAATACTTTCCTGAAAGGCTTTCAAAACTTACACATGGAAATGGGAGTCTCAACTAGTTTCCAGGACCAAAATTTTTACCTCTAAAAGCCTATGTTTCACAATGACATTTATTTTGCTAATGGCTGACATACTGTTTTCATGATATTTCTTGTATTAGTTCCCTTTGGCATTTGTATTAGTTCTGTATTCAATAAATGCTACAAAACCAATTGTTTTAAGGGTCCCCATTTGTCAACTCCTTAGCCCAGGGAAGAAGGCATTCCAGTACTTGGGGATGAGGGAGTCCTGAGGGAGACCAAAAAAATACAAAAGCAGAGGTAGGGAGACTGCCCGGTTATCTCAGTTCTTGCAAGCAGGGGCCCATATTAACCCCACAAAGCCCTGGCCGTTCGGTGTAACAGCTAAACCTCTTGTCGCTCACCTCTCTTCATCCTGTGGCCCACCATGTTTTTTGGATAGAGGATTAAAGTGAGGACCTGCACTGGTACAGCCTGTTTCCAAAAAAAAAAAAAAAACTAAATTATCAAAGTAACAATAAATTCTAACAATAAAGTGACGATTTGCATCCAATGATGAAAGCACCTAGCTGCATCAGGATTTCTGGGCTAATACAACCAGGAGGCAACAACACCTTGGGCTGGGAGTAGAGACAAATGCTAATTACTAACACTTGTCAATCTCCTTCTCTGCCTTTTGCTTCCTATTTGTAAAAAATAGAAGTCAGACTTCATGTTCAATGGCTCTTTGGTAACTAAACCCCTGATTCTAATCCTGATTTCTAAGAAGGTAGCATGGTTTATCTCCCCGGCAACATACCACCAAGGAGTTCTGCCTGCAGTCTTTACTTGGTACAGGCAGAATATTAAACCACACCTATGTCCAAGGGCTCCTGCCCTGCGCAGCTCCAAGGACAGCATTCTGGTGCCAACCTGTATAAATGGCACTACTGGGGGCCACAGGCTGCCCACAACTGACAGGCAGGAGGTCCTTTCATGATGGGGCTTTCTTCACTCTGCAGCCAATGGAAAGTTTCCAGTGTTTACAGTTGCCACCCAGGCCCTGGAGTCCCACACAGGGACACAGCAGGTAGGTTAGAGGAAGTCACTTAGCAAGTCAAAGGGACAGGGTGATCACCTCCCAAGCATCAAGTCTGGCCATTACATAATTCCTGAAAACCAAACCATGGTATGTGAAACACACGTTCTAGCAAAATGAATCAAGTTTTCTTCTTAAGGAGTCTGTACACGAAATTCAGACTGTTACTCAAATACAGGAAAACAGCACCAAACACAAGTCTATCCATAAAGCTTTGTTAACTTAATTCTAATCTCAAATGGGGGGAGGGAAAAAAAAAATCAAACTCATACCAAAGCACCACCATCTTCTATCTTCAGTTTGTATCTCCCTCTCATACTGGTGATTGAACCCAGGGCCTGCCCACTGAGCTACACTGCCTACCAGCGTATTTTGGTAGGACTGTGGTTTCATGTTGGGTTCTTATCTAGTGCACTACAAACACACCTGTGCCTGTGTCTGCAGTAGGCACTTTCAATCCTTGACTCACAACTGGAGAGCTAAGGTATAGGTGATCCCTGCACCAGTACATCACCTACCTTGTGTATTATCGCCAAACTCATGGACATGGAATCCGTGCTTGCCTTCAACCAATCCCGTAATGCGTCCCTTTACCACAACGGGCCCGTTTGCCTTTATTCAAGGAAAAATGCATTAAGTTTAGTACCCAAAAATACCACCAACCTATTTCACTGCACTTAATGACAGACTAGTCTAAGCAGTGAAATGCAGGTAACTGCCTGGTGACAAAACAAAGGAAAACCAAAGCAGTACTGCACGCTTTTCAGGCAGCAGGGTGACGGCGATGGTGCCCCAAGGCTGCATCCAGAAACCCGGGAAGTTATCATCACGACCTCGGGGACCTCAGGGACTGGGAAAACATACACAGCAAGCACACCACACAGGGATATGGGGAGATGCACACTGCTTTGTTTTTAACTTGGCTCATTTTTTTCAACAGCCAGGGCCAACAAGTACAAAATTAAACTTATCAATTCCTCCTCACCTGAATTTCAGACACCTGTGGTGTGTACCTTTCTGTAAACCACTTTAAGTCTCATTCATACACTACTCACTCCTGGTTTTAAGCCATGAACAACAAAATTTCCCGCAATTAGTAATCCTAACATTTGACCTGACAAATATTCGAGCAACTGCCCTTTTTCCTTTTTTTGAGAAACAGCGAGTCTTCATACAGTATTAATTTTAGAAAAACTCAAATGTGAATCCCTACCCCTCCAACCATGATGTTGCCAAAGCAGACACACAAAAAGGACAGGTTTTTCGAAAGCTCTGTTGACTGGGTAAGGCACAGCACTCTCCAGAAGTTCTTCAGAGAGTAGGCTGCATTGTGTGATACAGCCTGCAGGGACCATGCTGGCCTCTCACAACTGACACAGGCCAGGAAAGCAAAACAAGAGTATAAACTGCCCCAGGCAGTGCTGTCTCAGATCTCCAAAGACTTCAAGATAAACTAGGAAACCGGTCCTGGAGGTTAAAAAAATAAAATAACAAAATTAAAAAATTCCAATTTTTAAAAATGTGCAACTAAATCAAAATTGTAAACACTCAAGAGGCCAAACCAAGAGTCTCTATCCAATGCACTGCGTGTGCCAACCTGCAGAGCTGACTGAAATGCTTAACTATCCAAAGGTCTTTATCGAGTACAAAGAGCACGAATATAAAGTTTAGAAATCAACCACAGGCCCATGCAAGCTGCTCTGGGCAGCTGGACAGCTGATCCTCACACTGCTTGGCGGCCACAGGGACGGGTATTCACCAGTACCAGAAAGAAAAAAGGGGCAGTAGCAAGTCTTCCAAATGAAGCACTGCAAAATTTAGCCAAAAACAAAAAATATAGCCTTCTTCCAGAATATGGAGAGACCAATGAAAGAAACAAACTCAAATATCAGTTCTCCCTTCAAGAAAATGCAGCGACTTGCATACATTGTTTCTGATCATTCATACATTAAATATTCTCATGGCCAGGCTGTGTCTAACAGAACTTCCCGCCAGTTGGTAATTTCACTAACGTTCTGCTCAGTCTTATCACAAGCACCTTCCCTGTGATACATGTGCTTTGCATTATTACTGACAAAGGCTACTTTTGAATACATGTTTTACAAAACTTGCCCAGAAAATTGAGAACCAAGGGTATAACTTCGCAGTACAGAGCATGCAGTAGACCCTGACTTCAATTCCCAGCACCAAAATACTTTAAAACTCGACTTCCACTATTTCTGCAAACTGCCTACTGGGAGTGCAATTTTAAAGTCACTTTACAGAGAATTTGGTTGAAAAAAAATGCTGCAAAAACGGTTATGAAGTGCCAGCTCTAGAGGTCTGGCAACTTTCATATTCCAAAACCCGCCCTCTGTACACAAGTCACAGGCCTACATTAATATTAAAACCACTTTGGAAACTTAAAAAAAAAAAAAAAACTGCAATGATCGCACTGAGACAAACCTTTCTGTAATAGGGCTGGGGCTTGGCCCTGGAGTGTATTTCCTAGGAGGCTTCAAATGAGCGCACCAGGCACCAAGAGGGAGAATCGCAGCCCTGGCAAATCCTCCAAGCCACTAAGGTTTTCTCCGGCTTCCGGAGCCTTAAACAGAAGGATCCTCGTCCAAGGCCACCTTCTTTGTCCCTGCGACCTGACCCTGACCCAGAACAGGAGAGCCTAGCACTTTCCTGGGAAGTGTCGCATAAGGTCTCTGTTGTGTGTCATTTTTCACAATCATTATACAATATAAAAACCACTTCTAGCCCGACAGCTCTACGCAAACGGTACGCAGACCGCTAACCTCTCAAGACACTGAAGTCCAAAAGGCAGCCCCAAAGGATAACGGATGCGACGATTCCCCAAGCGGGCCCTGCGGCGCTCTTCAGCCCGGAAATCGGACTGCGCCACTCAGGTTCCCCGGGATCCTCCGCAGCAAAAATCAAAAGCTAACCCACCAACGCCGCCCCCAAAAGCGTCTGCTCTTCACCCCCGGACGGCGATCGAGGCCCGGGGCCAGCACCACTACCGCCTGAGGTCTGCGCCGCGGGGAGGCCCAGGGCTCCGGGCCCAACTACGGGCCCAACTACGGGCCCAGCCGCCCCGCCGCCCCGCCCGGCCGCGCCATGACTCAGCACCGAGTGGGCGCACGCGGGCGGCGGTGCGGGGCATCCGAGTGGGGGCGGGCAGCTGGGCCGCGACGCGGTCCGAGCGCAGGTGCGCGGGCTGGCGGACTTCGCCGCGGGCCTCTGCCCCCGGCCTTGCCTTCTGCTCGAAGTGGATGATCCCCTGCACCGGGCCGTCGCCCTTCAGCACGCACACGGCCTTGGTCGCCATGACTCGCGGGGTGCGTGCGTCGGTCCGGGCCCGAGGACTGCGCTGACGACGGAAGACGCTGCAGGAGACACCGGCGCAAACCGAGTTGCGGCCGGCTCGGCTGATTTATAGGCCGGACCTTGGCGCCCGCCCTCCTTGGCTTGGAACCAATCGCCGCCCGCGGGCTCTGCCCACCTCCAATGGCGGCCTCGGGACCGCGGCCAGGCCGCGCGAGGGCGGGGCTAAAGGCGCGAGGGGAGACCTGCCAGGTGGCGCCGGACTCGATTTACCCTGCGCCAAGGAAAGCTCTAGAAACCCGAGCCGTTGGAGAACGGCCTTTAGCCTCCAGAAAGTGTAATCCGATGGTCGCACTGCAGAAACCGGGAAGGTGAGGTCTACCCGGTGTGCCTGGGAGATCTGAAGCTGCTTTGTCTAAAAATGTAATTAGTTAGGACTAAGTTTGGTGGTCTCATCTCATTTGCTATTTAGAAATCAGGACCCATCAAGATGGATGCTTTTCGTAGCTGTTATTTTTTTATTCTGTTTTGCACTGTCTGATTTACAATTGATACCTTTCAGATCCTGGTCTCACCTTTTCTTTTTTGTAATTTTCTTAGTCTCTAGCACACAGAGTTACTCATTTGGTTAGCACAGTTTTGGCTTTTGGGAGTTTCTTTTGGGTTGTTTGTTTTTCTGGCCAGGACACAAGATATCAAAATAACCCTGATTGGTTTCTATGCCTCTCGTGCTTTTTTGGTCTGTTTTAAGGCCGCACACTCAAGGACAAGGATAGAATGATTAAATAATTTATGCTATCTCCATAAAACAGAAGAGAGAAACATTAATTTTTCAAGGAAAACATTTCAAAACCATATTGTGAAATAAGCAAACAGCACAAGCTATTTTCATGAGTTTTTTTTTTTTTTAATGACAGGATCAACAGGTTTACATGTGTGCTCAGCAGTGCCTGGAAAGTTAAGAGCAATCAGAGGTCCCTCTCCAGAGTGCAGAATAAACTTTCACTGAATTGTTACCCTGAACCTGCATCTGTCTACAACAGCATTGCTCTGTGGTACACTTCAGTCAGAGAAGAGGGTTTTGTTGTTGTTTTTAAATGAACAATTTTAGACAAATATGTCATAATTTTCAAAGAATGGTACAGAAACACTTGCTGTTGGTGTGCATAGGAGGGATTTGACCTTCGGGAACCCCAGAAACACCTTTGGAAAGCAGCAAGGACTGGTCTGGGCCTGGGAGGTGGAATTCAAAGGTAGGTGGGGGACACCAAAATGCGGTGGGCTGAAACAGACCTCCTCCCCTCCAGGGTATCATACTGGGCTCAACAGCTGATTCTTCTTCTCCAACAGTGCATCACTTGGAGCTGGGGAAGAGTTTTGAAACTCACAGGGCAATGGTGGAAGAAAGTGTTCATCCTGGGTCCCCTGGGAGTCCCTGGGTAACCACACAAATGGCCCACAGTTTTCTGATCAAGAGTAAGGTTCACCTAACCCAAAGGCCACATTGCTTCACCCAAGGGGCTCCTGGAGTAGTGGCGGCCCTGCCCTGGCTCCCAAGATCTGAGGCAGGGTCTCAGGAGTTGCATTGGTGACTTGTTTACTGGAGAGGACCTCTGCATTCATGGCATTCCTCATGCCCAGTGAAATGCAGGATGGGGATGAGACCTGACTCCAAAGAGAAGGTGGGAAGAAGTCCTGAAAGGCCAGGTTAAGACCACCACGTGGGTGAGGCCATGGGACCACCCTGAGGGATTTCTGTTTTGTTTGCTGTGTTGAGTTTAAAGTTCCTGTCTCATCACAGCTGTCACTACAATCCACATTCCCTCTGCTGCTCAGAAAGCAACGTTCATTTTTGTGGGGTTTTTCTGAGACCAGGTTTTGCTTCATGTTTCAGCCTGGCCTCAAACTCATGGATCCTCATGCCTCAGCCTCCTCACTGCGAGGATTAGCAGTGCACACCACCACATTCAGCAGAATTTAGTTTTAAGGAAAGCAGAGTACTGAGGTCTAAGTCAAAGCCAGTGTGAAATAAGAACAGAAACTGCTCCAGCCACGTTCAGAGTACACTTTCATTTATCTGTCTGTGTAGACCATGGAATTCTAATGTATCCTGTATTAGAAATAAGAAAAATCGGGGCTGGGGATTTAGCCAGAGCTCAGCGGCATAAGCACCTGCCTTGCAAGCAGGCAGTCGTGAGTTCGATCCCTGGTACCAATAAAAAGGAAAAAGACAAAAAAAAAAAGAAAAGAAATAAGAAAAATCACATTATGTACTTCCTCTAAGAAGTGTGTTTATTTATAATTTGCCTGTTGTGTTCACTAATATTCTCCAGATAATTAGCATATGATAAACAGTTACCTAAAAACAAATGCCAGCCAAAAAGGTTTTGCCCGAGGTCAGAGTTTCTTTGGGTTCCAGGAAGTTCAGCAATGAATTTCGCTTTGTTGTAAACTTGCCAAGAAGGCAGCTCACAGATATAAAAAGCTGCCTTCAGATAGTGACTTATAACTCAATACATCAGAACTGAGTATACCCAGATGACACAGACTACAGTGAGATTATTGGCTTTGAGATGGGGTGGGTGGTGGTGGTGGGCTTTTTTTTCAGTCCTGAAGATTGATACTAGGGAATGGAATTTTGCATAATTCTGAATTAGCTGCCTATTTAATCATCTGGACAGTGACACATCATATGCAAAATTCTAATTCCAGGCTGTTTGTTCCCATTCTGTTTATGGGAATGTAAATTCACTACAGCCACTATGGAAGACAGTATGTCAACTACCATATTGATAGCCCAGTGCTGGAGTTGTGTCCTAGGGTGATGAATGAAATTGGATGAGAGGGTGGGGTACAAACAAATTTATTTAAAAGCTATAAAAGCAAGAAACTAAACTCCCGCTAGCTGAGAGGGGGTTCTCAACTGGAATCCCAAGAAGGTTCTTTGTCTAGAGGTTTTTAAGAGGTTTAGAAGGCAGTGCTGGCCACTGGGGTGTCTTTCCAGGTTCCAAGGATACTTGGCAGAGGGAGAGTGGACAGGTGAAAAGGCTCACAGAGGCCCTGAAGCTAGAGGAAAGGAGTATTTTGTATCCAAAATTCCCATTTATTTTTCTGTCATGCAAATAAGACATTGGGAAAATCAGCCTATCAAAAACGTACTTGGCATCAGGCCATGTATAAATTGGCCTATCAAAAAAGTCATTTGGTTTCCCCTTACATGTAAATGAAAGATCAGAAATAGTGTCTTTTGATTGGTTGTGTCTATATGCAAATGAATGATTGAAAAGAGCATCTTCTGGTTGGTCCTGTGAACAGCACCAGATTTAAGTGAGGAATTAAAAAATAGTAAGTTTTTCATTGATCTAAAATAGCACTCTTAGAGGCTGGGGATTTAGCTCAGCGGCATAAGCACCTGCCTTGCAAGTAGGCGGTCGTGAGTTCGATCCCCAGTACCGATAAAAATGAAAAAGACAAAAAAATAAATAAAAATAAAATAAAATAGCACTCTTGGCTGAGGATATAGTTTAGCCAGATAAGCACCTGCCTGGCAAGTGTAAGGTCCTGAGTTTAATCCCTGGTATGGGGCCAGGGAAGAGGGGTGGGGGATAGCACTCTTCTGATTGGTTCTCTGTAAAGTGATGATGGTCTTACCGTATTGGGGTGCCCCCAGGGGGCCTTCACCCTATAGTAGAATTGTTTTAAAGTGAAGTTTTTAGGAATGGTGCAAAAACTGAAACTTAAAGACAAAAGATACAAAAGAACATGTTTTGTTTAGGATCATTAAATTCCCCAAAGCCCAACTGAATCACATCTTTTCCACACTGGTACAGCTGTCCCTCATATGCACTGAGCATACTTCTAAAACCCTGAGCAATGCCCAGAGCCACGAATAGCACCAAACATGACGTATCCTGTTTCTCCTCTGCATGCATACCTATTAAGTTTAATTTATAAATCAGGCGAAGGAAGAAATTAACAATGACTAATAATAAAATAGGAAAATTATTCCAATGTACTGTAGTAAAAGTTCTGACAGTGTGGTCTTTCAAAATATCTTAGTGCATTTTCGTCCTTTCATTTAAAGGTAACACTTGAGGGTTTTCCTTTGGCATGTCCAGGTGGCAGGATCTCTGCTCTTGCACCTTGGGGAAGTAAAAGAGCGGCTGCTTGAGGCCCAGCATGGTGGCACACGCCTGTAATCCCAGCACTAGGGAGATTGAGGCAGGAGGACCACTGTGAGTTTGAGACCAGCCTGGGCTACAAAATGAATTCAAGTCCAACCTCAACTACACAGCACAACCCTATCTCAAAAAAGATGACAGAGACAGACCGACAGACCGGCAGAGAAGGGTACTTGAACACAAGCACTGTGACACCATGACAGCAATCTGCCAACTGTGACAGCTCCTGAGTGGCTGATGTAGTGCGTGCACACAGCTTGGATGCACTAAAGGATGATTCCTGTCTCAGGTGGGACAGCTTGTGATTTCATCAGATGACTCACAGCAACATGCAGCTTAATACTTAGGAACGTTTTATTTCCAAATTTTCTATTTGGTACTTCTGGACCACAGTTGACCAAGGAGATCTGAAATCTCGGCATGCAGAACCACAAATGTGGGAAGAAGGTATCTTGTACTGTTATGTCCTCCCAAGATGGCACTGCTTGCAGAGATGTAGCTCAGAAGCCTTGTGTTCAAGCCCCAGCAACAAAAATATTCTTAAGAAGATGACATTGATCCTAAGAGGAACAAACCTTTACTTGGTTAAACAACCATAACCAGATTTCTATCCGATGCAGTCTAGGTTCTTGGTTTCTTGAACAAAGAACTGGACAGTACACGTGCAAAAGGTAGCCAGGATTCATGGTTATTAAAGGTACCAATAGAAATACCCTCTTTAGAATAAGAACAGGCCAAGTAGAGATAGGAAAAGAATACACTGCAGACAAAGAGCAGGCCATTGAGAAAACTTTACAATGGCTTTGAGGTTTTGGCGGAAGTCTTTTATATCCCTCGTCCTTCAGGCTGATGTCAGAGCTAGTCTGGCCTAGCAAAAACCTGCTTGGTTTTGCACCAGGAGAATTGAAGATTTCCCTCTCTGATTGGCCGAGGCTTGGGAACTGTATTCTGC